TGGGGCTAGGTTCCCAAGTGCAGAGGCCAGCAGCTCCCGGCTGCCGTGGCCACGCCAGGAGCCCACATGCACCACATCGTGGCCGCTTCGTAACTGTGGCGATGACCACAGACTAAATCACTGGCTCTCAGCGCTGAGGACTGGGGTTTGTCAGGGTCACTCGCTGTTCCCTTGCTTCTCCCAATTTTCCATAGTGAGCGAGCGAGTTTGGAGGGCTCGGCTACAGTACAAATACTTGTTGGGAGCTCTCCAAGTTTCACTCTGTCTAGAAGTTAGTTCTTTTAGTAGCCCATACTGAAGGTCTTCTTTTCATCCAGTGTCCCCTTCAACGTGATTCTGAAATGTTGTGACCCCTTAATCTGTGCACGTACATGCTTATACTGTACTGTTTAAAAAAAAAAAAAGTTTAAGGGAGCTAGCAGGCATACATATAATGCAGTTAATTTTTTAAAATTAGGATACAAGGCAAAAGGAGTATGTAAGTGGGATAATTAGTCACAACCAGGATAAAGGTGAATTCACAGAGTACAAATGACAAACAAGATTCTTTTGAGGCGGGTCGCAGTAGTTTTCTGAGTTCCTAGAAGCCAAAGCAAAGAGGGACTCATAAAAGATACAAACAAACCATTAACTCAAGAGGGTAGGAGTGGGTCCTTGCCCTGAATAAACTTCCCCCAGAAGCCCTCATAAAAGGGGCCCCGAGAGAGTGGATGAAACAGAGCCCTCATCGGCTTACCCGCAGTGGACAGCCTGGCCGTTCTCTTGGCTTCTTGCCATGACCCCTGGGGCAGGCTTGATGGCAAGGCTCCATCTGGGATAAGGACTCTGCTGGAGGCCTGTGCAGAATCTGGTTCATCAGTTCTCAAAGGGCGGTCTCCTGCGGAACCTGTTGCATCTGGGAGATGCTCTACCACCAAGGAAAACAAACAAACAAACAAACAAAAAAAGAGGACTAAAAAGCCTAGATCCAATAGGTATGGCAAGACTTGCACAGCAGCAGCACACTGAAGGCTCTAAAAGTCCCTCAATTAAGAAATTGACTCAGCATTTCCCAAACTGATTTAATCATCAGACCTTTAAGAAAAAAACAAAAACAAAAACAAAAAACAAAACTTGGTTCACTGGGGATCGTTGATCTAAAATGGGTCAGGAAACTTTCTGTTAAGGGCCAGATAGATAACGTTAAGTAGACAGTCTCTGTCATAACTACTCAGCTCAGCTCTGCCATTGTATCCAAAAAGCATGGCTATATGTTCATTTATGGATACTGAAATTCAAATTTCATATGATTTTCCCATGTCACGAAACATATTTTTCTTTTGTTTTTTTCCCAACCATTAAGAAATGCAAAACCATTTTTATCCCACAGGTCATTCAAAAACAGGTGGCAGGCCCTTTTTGGTCTGTGGCTATAGTTTGCTGACACGTGATCAAAGATAATATTTGGATGGTATCTTTCTAGCAAGCCTTCCTGGTTGCTGTTCCTCAGAGTTGTTTTAATTTTGACTTTCATGTTTCTGGTTTAAGAGCAGATTTAAAAAAAAAAAAGTAGTAGAGAGCTGGTTTGAGTGTTCAGGCTAGTCGAAGATTTTTCTCCAAACAGTGAGTCCTCTTAAAGAAATTGAGAAATTAAAACCAAAGCCCTGAAATTTTACTCTGTCATGTAAGTCTGCACCAGTTGGGCGCTGTAATGTTTTAGTGGGCATCATTTATTCATTCACTGAAATAAAAATCAGAGCACCCAGAGACATTTAATTTTAAGAAAACATAACTTCCTTCTCAGCAATCTAAGTAAACCAGTCAGCTGTGGCCCCCACCAAGCTAACAGTGTTCTTTTTGATTTTTAACTAAAGGGACATTCTTTCAGCTTCTTATGATGTCACTAAGGAAGGAGGATCAAAACATTCCCTCCTCTAAATCTGACATTTTACTTTCAGTTTAACAAGTATTTATTGAGTACTCAGTGTACATATAAAGCATTTTGCCAGCTTTTGTGGGGGCTACAAAAAGAAACAAGCAGTCAGTTCCTTCCCTGCCTTGTGAACCAAGTTCAAGATCCTCATCAATTCAGAGCCCATTGCTTTGGTGTTAGGATTGATTTCACTTCCCTGTCCCTTCCTGTCAGCGTGCGTGCATTCATTCAGCAAACACTTGGGAATTGCCAACACAGCCTTCAGGGAGCTTCTTTCCAGGGGACATCTGGTGTTTCTCTTTTCATCTGGCACTGTGCCATAATTACATCTTCTTTTATATGGTGGAACAGAAATTATTTCTTTATATCCCAAGACTTCCACACTGGTATTCCCCCTACTGTGAACACCTCTTCTTCAACTGTTTAGTGAGAAGATTGGATGTCCTGAGAAGCCATTCTCCCTAGGACTGCGCTCTAAATGCTCTTGTGTCCTTCACCTTGAAAGTCGCACCCAACTTTCCTCACCCTCTTCTCTTCATATACCAGTGAGTTTATAGTTCTACGCCGCTCATCATTTTAAAGCTAGTGACTGTATTCTACAGTACGAGTCTACAAGGTTGCTTCATGTCTTTATAAGCAATATTATGTATGTGGTGGACAATTACTTTTGTTTGGGGGAGATTATCTACAATGCTAATTTTTTCCATTTATGAAAATAAGTTATAGTGAAATTTTTGAAAAAATATGGAAAAGCATAAAGGAAAATGTTAGTAATTCCAGCACCTATTCATCAACTCTATTAATAATGAACACATACTTTTTTACTTTCCTTGATTCAAAAATCTTTTTTTTTTAAAGATTTATTTATTTGACAGAGAGAGAGAGATCATAGGAAGGCAGAGAGGCAGGCAGAGAGAGAGGGGGAAGCAGGCTCCCCGCTGAGCAGAGAGCCCGATGTGGGGCTCGATCCCAGGACTCTGAGACCATGACCTGAGCTGAAGGCAGAGGCTTCACCCGCTGAGCCACCCAGGCGCCCCTTGATTCAAAAATCTTATTTAAAATTTTTTTATTTTTAGCGGCACCCAGGTGGCTCCATCGGTTAAGTATCTCCTGGTTTCAGCTCAGGTCATGATCTTGGGGTCGAGATCGAGCCCCACGTCAGGCTCCACACTCAGTGTAGAGTCTGTTTGGGATTCTCTCCCTCTCCCTCCACCTCCCTTCCTCTCTGCCCCTCTCCCTGCTTGCACACACATTCTCTCAAATAAATAAAATCTTTTTTTAAAAAAGTCTTTAAGTTAATAAACAATAAAGTTGACCTTTACTTGTTGTACAGTTACATGAATTTTAAGACACCTATAGACTCATGTAACCACCATAATAGTCAAGATACAGGAAAGCTATGGTCTCCCAGACCAGGTGCCCTCAGCCCCTGGCAACCACGGATCTGTGGTCATATAGTTCTGTCTTTTTGAAAATGTCGTAGAAATGGAATTATATACATCATGTAAGCTCATGAGAATGGTGTTTTTAACTTAGCATAGTAACTGAGATTCCAAGTTGTTACATGTAGGAGCAATTTGTTCTTGTTGCTAATTACCTTTCCCTTGTGTAGAGGTATGCAGTTTGCTTCTCTGTATATTCATTTACCATTTAAGAATCTAGCTCTCTTTTTACCGTTTTGACATTTCTCAAATCCTGAGATACATTAAAATCAATGTATATATTTACTATGGTAGGGGTTTTTGTTTCCCTAAAAAGCTATTGTCGAATTGATGGGGCATCTTAGAAACGGCACTGTCCTAGAATCAAGCTACTGCAGGGGTGAGCTGATCGCCGTAAGATGTCAGAGTGGGCTGCTGAGAGTTATTAGGCAGAAGGGAACAGAGCCAGCTTGGCAGCCTCTGAGGGCTTTGGGGACACTTTAAGCGGAGGAGCAACCCAAGGAAAGAAGTTTGTACAAAGCAAGCCAGTCTGATTGTTGGGAAGCAGGCTGCTTCCTGTCAGCGTTGAGGCATCCAAGGAGACCGGGGTGTGACAGCAGTGTCACTGCTCGTACTAGAGGATGTGGAGGGAGAACTTGGGAAGAGTCCAGTGGCAGCAGAGGGCACCAAGTAGTGAGTCTGGGAGCAGAGGGCACCAGCTAGTGAGCCTAGAGGGCACCAGCTAGTGAGGCAGGGGGTGGGGAGACCTGTGGACAGACTGCCCAAATCATGACCTGAGCTGAAACCAGGAGATACTTAACCGATGGAGCCACCTGGGTGCCGCTAAATTAATAGAGTATTTATGTGGGTGGACGGGTGGCTGGAAGCCCTACAGCAGAACGAGAATGTCCCAGCACTTCACAGATTAAGAGGGAGATATGCACAGAGGTACCATGTGACGATTAGTGGGGAGAGGGCATACTGATTCCATGAGCTTGGGTAAAGTATACAATCAGTCCATAGAAACAACCTGATTGGGTACCTTTCTAAGCATAGTCGTATTACGGCTAACTGTATGGCCCCACGTTGTTGTTTTGTTTTGCTTTGTTTTTTTGGTAAAACTTATTCTTGGGTCCTATCCCCTTTGTCACAACAAGTCAGGTGACTTATTCTTTGGCCAACCCTCATTTCAGCGAGATAGGAGAAGGAGCAGTGAGACATCCTCACATAGATCCTTGAAGGACAGGTTCCCATTAGCCACTGAGGACAAGGGAGGCAGAAGCAAGAACTGACCTTCGGAGAGTAATTTACCAAAGGCACTTGCTCCTCATGTTGGAAAACTCATTCTGGGAAGCCTCATGTGTGGAAGCCCCCTCACTCTATCCACTCACACTTCCTCTTGCTCAGGCTTAAGGAGAAGTAGGTGCCTATTCACAGGAAGCGGAAGACCCTCGGAGACACGATGGAGACGGGAGCTTCCTGAATTTGTCTCTCCTGTCTCACAGTTGACTAAAGATCTCCTTCTCAGAGAGCCATGACAGAAGCTACTCTTCCCTTTGCCTGCCATTTGCACATTTGCAAAGTAACCATTCTCTAAAACTCTAGTGCAATGGGTTGAAGACTCTGGTGTTTGTGGCATTGCTAATCCTATCTTCAATCCTTCCTAGGAAAGACTGTATCTTCACCATTGACCCATCAACTGCCCGTGACCTCGATGATGCCCTCTCCTGCAAGCCACTTGCTGATGGTAGGCTGGAAAATTCTATACCTTTCTGGGTAGAGGGCCGTCTGCATGCCTTTCTGGTCAGCCTGGCCGGCCGCATACTCCCCAAACAATATAATGTGTAGGGTTGGGTTTGCTTTGTTCCTGGGCCTGCGCTGTGTGGGACTTAAAGATTGTGTTCCTGTGGTGACTCTGATGAGGGTGAGAATAAGAAAGGTCCTCTCACTGGGACTCTTCGGGCCTCAGCTGCTGCAGCAATGAAAGCAGAAGAGCTACTTCCAGGCCTTGGCTCTTTAGGAAGTTGGAGTTGGGTGTCATGTGTTCAAGAAGAAAGCCCTTAACCTCTGCTTCGGAGAAGCATTGGGTTCTTTACCTGCATTTACCAATAGATTAGGATGATTTGGGGGTACTCTCCAAAGGCATACTCAGCAGTGGGTCCACCTTCCTGCTGAATGCCCTCTGCACCTGCGCTGGAAAAGCCGGCCCTGCCCCTGCAGGTCTTCATGTGTCCAGCAAATTATGAAAGGCAGCTGGTAGGGGCTCTTTAAACATTCTTTGGGAATGGACCTAAACAGGGAAGAGTATGGGATTTAAAAACTATGGTGGGGCAGGGGGAGGGAAAGTGTGTGGGATGTGAGAAAAGCAAACCCTAGCAATCCCTGTTCTAATGCCCCTCCCATGTGGTGCTTCTCGGCTTTTGCTATTTCGTGCCCCTCTCTAGGATGGCGTCTAGGGGACTGCCTTGGCTTCAGTTGTTCTGGATATGGCTTCACCACTGCCATGGGCCTGACGGCCGGCTACCCTTGGAGTTTCAGTCTGTGGCAAAGTCTTCTAAGACATTGCAGAGGTGTTCATGTATTTCATTGATGTACAATTCCACATAGGTTCCCTGTGTGATCTCTTCTCTACTGGAGCAGGCAATGAAGATTAGCAGGTAGGAGGCTGAGGGACAGAACACATCACTGCCAGAAAATGCTTTCATCTTCTAGTGGGAGCCCTCCTTGAAACTGTAGGCAAGGTTGCTCAGTAGTTTCAACAAAGAAAATTGAAAGAAACATAACACATAAAGGCAGAAAAGTTCCCCTAGAAATTTTGGAGCAATTGCAGATTTTCAAAATCCAGAGTGTGAGCAGCCTTCTTAAAAAAGCAAATGCTGGGCTGGTTTCTCATCTTCTGAGGAATATTTGCTAAATGCAAAAGCTTGAACATGTCGCTCTCTGTGCAGTCCACTCCCCCGATCTCCAGTCTGAAAAGTGCTCCCAGGCAGGAAGACAGGTGACAATGAACCTCACTTCCTGTATTTCCCTTTTCTCCAGGTTCATGGCCCTGCTCCGTTTGGAGTCTAATGCTTGAAAACAGTTGTTTCATTTATTGTGTCCACTTTTATAGTTGTTAGTGGCCGAAGGCAAGGTCTAACACCTGTCACTCCATCTCAGCTGGCCTGGGTGGTGTTCTCACGGGCGCCCAGAGAGCAGGCGCGTGTCCTACCCCACTCACTCTATGCACTACACACTACATCTCCTGTCTAGGGTGACAGATTCCCAGCAGAGGTTTCTGGGAGGGAAGCGGTAAAAGGGCAGGGAAAGTAGATGGGGGACAAATGGTACCTGTTTGTAAATGTCCAGCCAAAGGATGTTCTGTGCCAGAAAATTGAAAACCAGTTGTTTTCAATCTCTTATTCAAGGAGAGCAGTCAAAGAAACTAATCTAGCAGTACGAGATGAATGAGAGGAAGTAGAGGCAGAGAAGCATTGGAATCGTTCAGGAAAGTAGGCAGTAACTGGACTAGAGGTTGTGATGGCACGGGGTAGGCGGGGAAGGCAGATGTGACAGAGGTGTAATGACAGAAGAATCAGTGGAAATGGATGTTGAGGTTGAGGGAAAGCAGTCTTCACACTACCCAAGACAGAGCAAAAGTTTCAACCTGGATGATGGGGAGATGGAATTTACAAGTGAGAAGCCAGGGCGGCAAGAGGATGAGCTGGTTTGGGAGAGACGGTGTCTGTATGGAGTTGACCATCTGATGGTGCATATTTATCTAAGCTGTCACCTCTCCCTTTCAGAGGTGGGGGCGGGGAGTCACATAAGCTAAATGCATGTAGTCCATAGAACCACATACACAGGGAGCCCTGGAGATCAGTAGACAATGCACCAAAATGCAAACAGCGATTTTATTAGAATGATGGGATCTTAAGTGATTTTTCTCTTTTCTCTGGTTTCCATATGCTTCTAATGTGGTACTATAGTTTCATAATGGAAAAAAAAAAGTTTTGTAATTAAAAAAAAAAAAAAAAAGAGTGATGAGGTGCCAGAAATCACAGGCTGCTCAGTAGCGTCCTGCACCAGGTGATCCCATGCCTTCCGTCCGCTCCGTGGTTCCTGCGTTCCAGAGGAGTCGTTAGCATCAGTCATCTGGCAGAGCAGCAGAAGAAGGGCATGGAGAAGGAGGCAGGGAAGAATCTGAAAAGGCCACAGTGGGTCAGTCAAGCAGTTTTACGGTGGCACTTCTACAGTTGGCCTTTGTGACAAGGGCTGCTGCCAAAGCTCTTTATCCAGGGGGATGAAAAGTGAAAGTCCATTCCAGTTTGGATTGGGGTGAAGTTGGCTGAGTTCTGGTTCCATTAGTTAGCAGTGCATGTCAGTTTTTGCTTAGAGGAAAAAATGTTTAACGTTTCAAGAAGCAAATAATGTTTTCTCGGCCTATTTACCTCATCGATAATCATTTTTATTTAAAGAAAATATATAGAGGTCAGACTTCCCTTTGGACGTACTGAAATCATCTGAATGACTGTTCTGTGCAAATGAGACCCTCAAACAGATGTAACTTTTCTAGTCCTCACTGTCCCATTCTGTAGAGTTCAGATGTATCCTTGGGACTCATGATCAGTGTCTCCTGTAGGTGTGACACTTAGACGACCATACAGCCTGCAGATCTGCTCTGTGGAAAGGCAGGGACACCTGTTCCCTGGAATGTCAGGATTATGTCAGTTGGCTGAGGAGGGGGTGCCCCCTCCCCTTGAGGAATCTCAGCTCTGGAAGGGGTTCTACCAGTCATCTAGCCTGCCAAGTCCCTGCCACCCTGAGCTTAAAACTACATTGGAGTAAAATGTTCCCATGGGCATGACCCAGCCCGCTGACTTGAACATGGAGCAATCCACTTTTGCTCAAGAAAATACTGAATAATGCAAGTGTACAAGAGTGGTGTTACAAAGATAACCCAGAATCTCAAGGTGGCGAGTCACACACTCCTGTGTCTTATTACTCTAACAGATCACTTGCAGCACACCTCAGAGCTGACCTCACCACTCAGGCGTGGAGGGCTACGGTCGTCACATCACCCTCTGGTTTTTAAATTACCTCCACAGCGTCCACTTATTGACTCTCCAGACTGCATTTTAACTCTCTACCTTATGGGCAGCCCATTCAGCCTGAAGATGGCATAACCGTTAGGAAACCCCTCCCTGTTGTGGTCTGAAATGCTGCTGTCTTGCTGCAGTTTTCCTTCCCTTGGTCCCGCGTATGCCTGTTGGGGGCCCCAGAACAAGGCTTGTCTCTCACATGAGCACGCCTGAGGGACTGCATGACAGCTGTCACCTTTGCGTCACCACCCCTCCGCTGAGCATCCTGTATGTTCTTCCATGAGCTGTAGCCTGTTGCCCATGTCGTGCAGTCACTTCTGCCCTTATGAGGTCTGAGGTACATGGCAACCTGTATCCAGACTTCTCCATGGCATCAGGGCCTCCTTACTGGGCTGACCCAAGTCCAGAGTAATAGGAACCCATTCTCTTCAATTAGACAAGGCTCACTGCTTTGCTTCAGTCTCAAGGAGAGATTGTTAGACAGGACCTCTACTCAGCTTAGCCAATCCAGGCCCCTTCCAGATTCTACAGGGAATTCATGTTCCCCGCCTCTCTCCTGGCTGTTTTCTCTAATGTTTTATTCTCTCGTGAGTGCTCTGCCTTTGAATGTGGCAGCATTATCTTAGCCAGGCCTTAGAAATGAAGGATTTTGACCCTGGGGAGATGAGGGAATGAGTAATGACTACTAATGGGTTTGGGGGTTCTTTTGGGGGTGATGAAAATGTTCTGGAATTTGATAGTTGATAGGTGCACGGCGTTGTGAATATACTAGAAACTACTGGGGGGAAATGAGTGAATGAATGAATGAATGAATGAACGAACAAACCCATTCCTCCTTGAGGCTTTCTGGGGACTTGACACCTTAACCACACCTCAGCAGAAGTCCATAGGGAATGCCTGAGCGGGATACCCATAGTCACATCCGTCTCGCCTGTCTCTCTGCGTGCTGCTTTCATCTCTGAACCCTGAAATCCCCACGCAAGGAGCACACCCCCTCTCTATTCAGCCACCTGCTCCTATTTCCTGTCCCCACAGAGTGCAGCCATCTGACTCAAAGAAAGCAGGAGCCATCCTACCGGACTGACGCATTGTAAGAAAATCGTCAGATGAACAGCCATCATCCCGTCTGAGGGACCTCTGGAATGCAGGTTACCTGGTTTGCTCTGGGGGCACCAGTCTTCCTGCCTGATTTGCCTCTGTTGCCTTCCTGGTTGCATGGCTTTCCCTTCCTGAAGGAGGAGGGACTAGGAGCTCTGTCCCGGCAAGGAAATAGGAATGAGAGATCTGGAGCAAAGCCTATTAGAATGTCACAGAATTCCTAAACTGTGTAATTTCCCCCACGTAGCTGTATTTGTCACCTCCTAAGAGTTTCTCGTCATAACTAATGCCTTTGGAGGCGGTGCGGAAGTAGGAGCTGGAGAGACTGTGCCCCTGTGTTCTAGGTGTTGACCAGAGAATCTGTCCAATGAAATGGGTGCTAGGGGAGTTTTCGACAGGATGTTTCTGCATCTGCCTCTGGGAAGGAAAAGAGAGCATGGAAGTCCTGGAGCTTGTGCATGAACATTCGGGCAAATCCCAGCAAGCAGGCCAGAACCCCCCCTGGGCTCTCTTCTACCTCTGGATGGATCTCCCTGCACCAGTCACTCTCCCCGGCGCTTGACATTTC